AGCCCTGAGCTGCTTACCAGGGCAGATTTTGTATGGATGGGGCCAGGACAGGGCAGCTTTTTATACTGCTGGGGACAGCATAGGTGCTGGCCCCATGCTCTAGCTCCCCCTGGCTACAGATCCGGGAGGAGCCAGGCAGGGTCATTTTGCCCCAAGTGGCACAATTTGCTCCACAACAAAGTGCATGCCTGAGCACATGCACTGAGGCAAAAAGCCCTGGCTCAAATTTGCATCACTTCTATTTGAGCTGCTGCAAGCGCACGTGCTTGCATGTGTGGACACGCCCTATGGGGTGGTGTTTCTATTGAAATAAATAAACTGTACACTAACAACTTCAAAGCAGCTGTTTGAATTAACCATGTGACATGGGGGTGACAAAATTCAGACCCATTTAAGTTTCATAAATGTTGAAACATGCTTGTGGTTTGGTTAGGTCAAAGCTTACAGTTAGACTCTCTGGCCACACATAAATGAAGTTAAATTTTAAGAGCTGGAGTGATGGGCAGGACCACATCTGAATAAAGGGTAGTTTTAATGCAAATAAAACTAAACTACTAGTATAAATCTTCTGGAATCGTGGAACATTTGTGTGCTTTTTTATTACAGGATGTATTCAGAGTAATGACTAGCAAGAGAAAAAATCATCTCTCAAAGTGGAAAATTCAAGAAAACAGTCTAAAATAGATTGCTCGAGTTAATAGCATTTTTCAGTGTTTGAGGCTTGATTAGACAAAAAGCAGGAGCTGAATTCTTGGCAGAAATCATTGTGGCAGCTGTGAAACTGACAATGGAAAGTGAAAGTGAGTCCTGATATTATGGCACTAACAGATAGTAAGTCTGCCTCTCTTCTCCAGAAACAAAATGGTTCTACATGCTGATTCTTTGTTAATGTAGCTACAATATATAGACTGTAACAATAGTTTAAGGATTTGCTTTAGCAAATTGTGCCTTTCTGCCATCTATGTAGTGTTAGCCTAATTTCAGAAATGCCTGTACATCCAAACACAAAGAAGATACTTTAACCTTAACTTCCCTGTGTAGAATCTATATTGTCATTGAAAACCATCAAGGTAGACGGATGTCCCATTGGTTAGGGTACCAGACTTGTAGTTGGTACTTCTAGATTCAACTTCCTGCTCTTCCTGTGTGACTTTGACTTTGCAGAAGAGTAAACAGGGCAGCTTTGCACATGGGGCAGTGCTGGCTGCTGCACTACCAGTGGTAGGGGTGCAGTCAGCCACTAGCTGTGGCAGCAGCTATTTTTGTGTCCCTGCCCTACTCCCTCTCAAAGGTATCAGCCAGGGCTGCTGTCTCAGCTGCCCCCCATTCAGTTATGCTACTGTGATTTTGGCAAGTCACCTAGTCTTTGTGTACATCAGTTCTCTATCTGTAAAAGGGGGGTCCCTCCTCTACTTTAAGTGGGTGTAACAGAAAGAATTAGAGAATGTTAAGAGTGAGGCTACTGTGGTGATGAGATTCCTAAAATAGATGTTGCTATGTATGGTTTTCTCTAAGCAGCCTGAGTTCTCGGAGGTAATGCCTTTGTGGTTTGTGCCTGAAAACGTATCTATTTCTTTTTCTTAGTGTATTTTCAGACAGCAACTGCAGTTTCTGTCATGCTACAATCTGCATAGTTTGTGTTTATGGCCTCTTTTAACATGGTGTGTTTATGTATTTATGCACTTTTTGAACAATTTAAGTCACTTATGTAACATTGAGTGAGAATTATCTATACAGGCACCTACAAAAGCTTCATTGTCATAGTACCTGAGCAAATCCCAAGAATTAAAAAAGCAAAAAAGCTTTCATATCCTCTCTCTTCCTTGCCCACATGCACTGCCCAGATATCAATATCTTAGTGTGCTAGCTATCATAATCATTCCACCCCTGGGCACTTGCTTTGCTACAGCAAAGTACAGGTCAGGCCTTTTGTCACTGTACGGTGATTTCTCATGGTTTTCATGAATATCAGTAGTCCACTGTACTCATACAACATACATCCCAAAACAATGCAAGGGAGTTTCTAGAAGCATGGGGAAAAAATTAAGAAGTACACTAATGCAATGGTTTCACTAAGAAACCCCACAATAACAACAAAAATCAGTTACAGAAATGCAGTTAAGCTGTGAGCATATATAGGTGCCATAATTAAACAATTTTGGTCTTGTATGTTTGCCAGACTATTAATATAAATCCCATTTATTTGCCTTAGTAAACTATTCCTGGGCTCGTAAATATCTTACATTGATATATACAAAGGCAATTTCCACAAGGAAAATGCAAGACATTCTTTAGTGATAGTTAAGGAATTTTCCAGCTCATGAAATCTTTGTTTTCTGAAGTCAAACAAACAGTGATCATATGCATCCCAGTTCTTTGAATAAAAAATTCATATGCCTTGATAGTTCAATAAATAAAAATAGATAAAAATGCAATAAAAATAAAAAATGCAAATACCTTTTGTGTTCAGAGTCAAATGTGGTTTATTGGATAGATCTCCTCTAATGCTCATAGACAGTCCTGAAAAAGATTTCAAATGCATCATATACAAAACCATTCAATTTTCTCATTTGTACTGACAGAAGCTGAAAACATGGTCTCAGAACTGCAGACAGTTTCAGCATAATGCTGTAATTCTAGCCCCTCTGGAAAATGGTAAGTTCCATTTTTGTAAAGATTTAACAGTTATTAAAACATTTTTTCTCCATTTTTCCCTGAATAACAAATATTAAATATAATTTGTTTCATGTTAAAATATTAGCAAAGTAAGGTTTAGGAAAAATTCTCCACTGAGACAGAAGCACAATTATCATTAAAAAAAATATGGTTATACAGTTGCTTTTAATGCAAAAGTAAAAGAAGTCTTTCTCCATGAATAAAATGTACTTTAACCCATCAGGCAGATACTTAAGATGAGACAATTGTAGCTGTGCCCTTCTTTATCAGGCTATCACTTCTCACTCTAAAGTCGAAACCTAAGGTCATCAGTGAAATAAACATAACATAATAAAAATGATCAAAAGAGAATGAAGATTTCGGAATGCTTATATACATATACATATAAATAAATATACACACATACTGTGTGTATGTATGTATACACACACATACACACACACATATAAATATATACATACATATATATATATATATATATATATATATATATATAAAATGATTACAGAGAATGAAGATTTGGGTATGCTTATACACACACACACGTATACACATATTTATAGATAATATATATATAAAAGCATACCCAAATCTTCATTCTCTGTAATACATATATTACAGAGGATTACCATTTTATTCTATACACTTCTCGGCAGCAAAAGAGCTACTGTTATTTGACTTGAAACAAAAATCTGTTATAGCATATAAAGATTTATCTTCACCAAAACCTGCATGCCAGACCAATAGGCCATTAGGTCACAAAACAACGTGTACTCTCTTCATGTATTAATAAGGAGGATAGTGGCTCAGTTTTTTAAATGGCTTATGTCAGCATTGAGTCTATTTGGTGAAGTCCCACTAGTGCAGTACTGCTACTATGGCCTAGTACCCATGAAACCAGACACTGGTGAAGATTTCCTTCATCCTCCTTTCTAGCTTTCTTATCAGTTAAGATAAACAGTGATAAGATTAAAGAGCTGGGCTAAAAAATAACAAAGTATTAGAAATTGTCATGGTACCAAGGAACATGAAAACAAGAAAACTAGATTTAATTATCACTGAAGTCAGGAATACCTGGATAGGAAGCTGACTGACATTAAAATAGCATATAAATAAATAGCTACAGTTTTCAGCACATCCTTTTTTAAAGAAATGAAATAGTATGGAAGCTATCATATCCTACTTAACAGGCATTCTATTGGCAGGCTTTCAGTAGATAAAGGGTTACAGAAGAAGTAAAGAGCAACAGGCATTGCATTATGAGAGTCCCACTTCCTGTCTCAGAATGGTATTGAATTGATAAGCATATTGTTCTGTGACCCAGAAGAAACCATCAGTCATGTTAGCATTCACTACCGTACTTCAAGTGCCAACAGCACCTATTCAAGGAAAATAAGTGCTGCAGCTAGTAACCAGTTAGAAGTAGTACCGAAGGAAGAAGAAAGATGAGGCCAACTAAGTTCACACCATCCTTTACAAAAGTCACCATAAAATACTGAAATGTGGAGGTAAAAGTGGGAATTGGGAAATGGTGACAGACCCATTTTATGGAAGTTTTTATGTGCAATCATATATTAGCCTCTATATAACATTGCCAATGAGGGAACTGTAACATTTCTGCAAATTCATTCCTATGTCTATGTACATACGCAGAATTTTAGTTCTTATTCTTTTAGAGGAGAAGTCAGGCATTAACAGATAATGAAAATCCTAGATAGCTAAGCTTAAAGGTCTCATTCTCCCCAAGGAAAACATACCAAAAAGCCCACCAAAAACCTTTGAACAAATGTTGTATTATCATCTGACCCCGAACAGGAATGCAATTACAATGAAGACAGCAAAGTTTTGCTGATATCATGATCTAAAATAGTTCCCTTTCAGCATTTTTCCTCAACGTATCAATTTAAGAAGCAATTATCATCAATGCAATTATCTGACAGTTTGGCTTTAAAATGTGTGTCACTACGATAAGCCAATACCTTTTTAAAATGACAACAAGCTAATGAAATATAAACATATTGAAAATATGTTTAGAACAATGCAAATAGTTTGTATTCAATACAAAAGCAACATTTGAGCACTAATGCTTACATTTAAAAAAAGGCTAACTAATGTGCTAACATGGAAACGTGGTGGCAATACAGTCTAGAGTTACTGATTTCATCACAAGTTCAACAGTCTTCAATACTGGAAATGTTCAAGACAGTTATATTTGCAAATAATATTCTTGGCTAATGCTGAAGTAGTAATTGAAGTAAAACATAATAGAATACTTACCTGAAGAAAGAAGCAGCTATAGGCTTAAAAAAGAAAAAAAGGTTGGGCGGGGGAGAGAAATACATTTTCAAATGATGAGTACTCTGAAAGTAACAGAGTTAGGAAGTCCTCTAACACAAGCTGCTACATCAGATTATTTGTATTGCTGTAGTGCCAAAAAGCCTCATGCTGAAAGGAGGTCTCTAACATAACCAATCTCTTCATTCATGTAACAGAATTATGTACTCTAAAAGTTATTCCTATCTTCAATTAATTAATGGAAGGTACTGGTCTACCTTAGGCCTAGTTATTATACCTAGGATTTTCAATTAGTAATTAGCATTAACGTTAGCTTGACTTTAGAACAGTCACATGCTCAGATGAGCCGGGGCCTGGAGGACTGAAAGGTAAGAATGCCTTCCTCCCCTTCCAGGTGACCTCCTGGTTCCCCCCGTCCCTCCCCGCCCCCAGGGGTTCCCCCTGTTGCCCTCTGGACTGAGCCC